GTGAGAATTGCGGGTCTCGCGTGCAACAAGTCAGTAGGCCCCTTGGAGTCCGCGTTGGTGATTTGCGACGAGACCGAAGCAAGTGAGTCGTCCTCTGAGCTCACTTCTGCGACGCCATCACCCGTTGATGAGTTTCGCCAACTGACAGAGGAGACGTGGGTCTCTGTTGGTAATGTATGTGACGTTTTCACGGCCGATGTCGAAGCGGAGGGGCGCACTGGGATGAAACAAAGGTCTACGCACGCCGACTTAGTAGGTATCGGGTTAGTAACTCTGCTCGACTCTTGTGAAGCAGGTGTGAAGGCTTTGCTCGACATGAGCGCTTAGATGCCCAGTCTTTCTGTTACGGGAGCTGTTGTGGTGCGTAGCAGTGATACTCGGTGGAGGACGCCGACGGCGACGACGTTGAAAACGTCGAAGGCGACGACGATCACGACCACGACGACGACGCTGACGATGACCGCCCGACGACGACGACAATGACGATGAGGACGACGACGACGACGACGACGCCGACGCGGAGAACGACGACGACGACGACGGCGCCGACCCGACGACGACGTCGTCTAGACAACGACGACGACGACAACGACATCGAGGACGTGAATGGCGACGCCGACGACGCCGACGCCACGGCGACAACAGGAGGCGCACTCCTCGTAGCTTCTTCACTCTGGAGACCGAGCGGAACGCTAGCGCTCATATTTGTTTTTCTCTCGCTGTGGCACCGCTGCTGGAGTAGATGACATCGTCCATCATGTTGATTGCTTCGACATTTTTTCTCGCGATGCATTCTGCACTCTCTCGCCCATTGGCCCCGCTTTCGTGGCAGCAGCGATCTTTCGGCCAAAGCCCGAGGACATGCAGACACGGTTGCCACCGCGGCATGCCCCAGACACGCGCCATTGTCGAGCTTTTATTTTGACGAGTGCGCTCTTTTAAACCAAATTAGGGTGGTCTACTCTGTGCAGCACACACGTGTACTTACATGCAAAACACAGTCGCAAAACACACACACACACACACATACACAATGACAAATAAACATACACACGCGGACAGTGTGTGAAGCTGTCCCCTCGCTGCCAAAGGTGTGAGAGATCAGGCGTTTTTTTCCTTGGATGTCGATCGGGTCCTCGCCAGGCCTGGAAATCGAACGTCCGATGTTTCGCCCACTGGCTGAACTGCACCCGCCTTTGCCCAAGAAAGAACAGGAGCAAAAAGCAGGGGGAAGGCCTCCCCTAAGCTTGCAGGGTTAGAATGCCCAATGGATTGCCCCCAGAGACCATGCGCCAGTTCGGTTCTGTGTGCGTTGCAGCTATGTGACTCGTTCCGGCTTCTCGTGGTGTGAGTCGAGGTGGCCACTCGTCCTTCCTTGTGTGAGGGTTTCGGGCTCCTCATTGTGTGTCAGTCGTTCGTGTCTTTCGTGGTGTTAGTCGTTCGGGCTTCTTTTCCTGTGTGCGTCGTTGGGGCCTCTCCTTCTGTGTGAGACGTTCGGGCTCCTCACCGTGTGTTTCGGTCGGGCCCCTCGTTCTGGTGTGAGTCGTCTGGGCGCCTCCTTGCGTGTGAGTCGTTCGGGCCCCTCGTGGTGCGAGTCGTTTGGGTCGCTCATCCTGCTGTCAGTTGCTGGGGCCGCTCTTTGTTTGTAACTCCTTCGGGCTCATCGAGGTGTGAGTCGTTGGCGCCTCTCGTTCTCGTGTTAGTCGTTCGGGCTTTTTTTGCGTGTGGACATGAGAGCGCTGAGCCAGCGCATCGTGCACGTCGGTGACATGGCAAATTCTATTAACCCCGTTAGTGAGCTCCAGGTGTCTCCATGCAGTCGAGGTCTGTGCATGAATGCGCGTAGCTCTGCTCTCCGCCCACAGGCTACCAGAGATCATTCCCGAACCCAGCATCCACAGGGGAAGCCTTGGAAAGTTCAACTGTGCTTTCTGATAACCGCGCTGATGCCAGGTGTCTTTCGAGTTCCTATCGGGTCTACTAATCGCGTTCGATCTGGGGATGGTGCTCGCGCTGTTTTCTTTGAGTCGCGATCAGGAATTCGGGTGCACACGGGTGTGCGACAAAGGCTAGGGTTCACAATGGCTTGGCCATCGGAGGGTCGAGGGGTTTACGATTCCCCAGCGGTTCTCCGTAGCCGCGGTCTGTGTACCGAGGTTCGGTTTATCTACCAGCCTTCGGCCATCCCGCCACAGTTTACCTACTGGCCTCTGGCTTATCGCGCCTCAGTCCCAGAGTCCCCCAGGAGGTCCGAAGCGGCTCCTCCAAGGCCCCCAAGACACTCCGAGAAGCCCCTAGGGCCAGCAAAAGGCTCACCAGACGCTCCCAAAGGGAACGAGGTGCCCGAAAGTCTCATGTTCCGAGGAGCCCGAACGACTCACACCAGGACGAATGGCCCGAAGCACTCACATTACGAGAAGCCCGAACGATTCCCATCAGAAAGAAGGGCTCGAACGACTCACACCAGGACGAAGAGCCCGAACGACTCACACCACGAGGAGCGCGACCGACTCCCACCACGACGAGAGCTCCGAACGACACATTCCACGAGGACCCCGAACGACTCACACCAGGACGAGGGTTCCGAACACCTCACACCACGAAGAGCCCGAACGATTCACACCAGAAGGAGGGGCCCTAACGACTCACAGCAGGACGAAACGCTCGAACGACGCACACCACGAGGAACCCGAACGACTCACACCTCGAGGAGTCCGAACGACTCCCACCACGACGAGAGCTCCGAAAGACTCGCCACACGAGGACTCCGAACGACTCACTCCAGGACGAGGAGCCCGAACGACTCACACCACGAGGAGCCCGAACGATTCCCACCACGACGAGAGCCCCGAAAGACTCGCAACACGGGGACCCCGAACGACTCACTCCAGGACGAGGATCCCGAACGTCTCACATCACGAGGAGCCCGAACGACTCACCCCTGAAGGAGGGGTTCCGAACGACTCGCAGCAGCACGAGGCGCTCGAACGACACACACCACGAGGAACCCGAACGACTCACCCCACGAGGAGCTTGAACGACTCTCTCTGTGTCGAGGACCCTGAACGACTCACACCACGAGGAGCCTCATATGGGGCCAGGATTTCATTCAGGATCTCAGGAGAGCTCCACATATACATCTCCTGCACTTTTGTGGTTGCTGTTGCCATTCTGGTTCAGAGTAGGCAGCCCCGCGCTTCCTCCTCCTGTTGCGTTGCTGTTCCGCCCCGCCGCCCGCGGGCGCCTGGGGCGCTTCGCCCGCCGCCTCCTGCTCCACCTCTCCCTGGCCACCTGGCGCACCCCGGGCCGCCGCAATACCCTTGTCACAGCCTCTGTTATGCTCCCGCTTCCGCCTGGCTCAGTGCTGTGCCCGCTCCTCGGCGCGCCGCGGTACCTCTGCCGTTCGTGGTGTCCCACGGCGCCCGCCCGCCAGCTCCAGCTGCTGGCAGCCGCCCTCCCGCCACCGTTGCCACCGTGGGCCACAGCCGCCCACCACGCTCTGGCCCTGCGCGCGTGGCTGCGGCTGCCCCCCCCCCGGCTGCTCATCGTCGAACTCTTCGACGTCTGAGCGTCCCTCTTTCCACTCGGCCGTCCCCTCTCTCTTTGCCCGCCGGTCAATTCGCTAGTTAGTGTCCCGGTTGCTTATTAGTGTTTGCGTGTGTTGATGCATGCTGGTGTTTGTTCGCGTATGTTGCCGACGGATCTCGTTGCCAAGAAATTGCGCCGCATGTAAGGGCCGCCCAGCGCGTTGTGGGTCTGTGCGTGGGGATCTCCCGATGCGCGAGAGTAGGGTGACGAGGAGCAGAGGAGGATGAGGGGGAGAAGGAGGAGGAAAGGGACGAGGAGGACGAGGGGGAGGCGAACCAGAAGGAGACAGCCATAAGGAGAAGCACGATGAGGAAGAGCAGCAGCAGCCTCGCAGGCCTCCTTGCCCAATCCCACCTGCCACTTTTTCTTCCCTCCCGTCCCCCTTCCCTCACGCACCTTTCACCCCCCTCCCGCATTCCCCCATGCTTCCATTCCATTCCCCTTTTCCTCCCATCCCTCATCTCCCTGGCCCTTCCCTCCACCCTGTAATTCGTGGCATCAGTCTTTCCCGAGGAGGCTTTGGGGCCCGTTCGAGCCAGAGCAGCGCAGAGGCAGGACACATCCGTTCCATGCCGTTCTTTCATAGCCCCGTCCCCCCTGACCCGATCCCCCTCCACACGTACTCAACATGAATACTAATTTCCTCTCTCCCTCGGATTTGTTTCGGAAGTATCCCGCCCTCTCCGTGTATTGTTGGGTTGCAAGTACGGTCGAGCTCTTGTCATTGTCGATTTATATTCAGAAACAAGTGCAGCACATGTTCGTGTTTCAGTCGGAAACCCTCTTGGTGTGTCGACATGGTGTTCCCGCTGCAGCGTGGGCCTCAATTTAGGATCGGAGCTTTGCCCCGGTCGTTTCAACATTGCGTTCTCGCCCTTTCGCGGCCCACTTTTCTGGATCCGAGTTCTTCATCATCGTTGTGGCCCAGCTCCTTTCTCCTCCCCCGCCTTCCTCTGGTCATCCTTCTCTTCCTGCTCCTCGCAGTCCTGTTCCTGCTATTGTTCCTCCTTGCCCTCCTTCCTCCTCATCATCATCTTCCTCCTGCTCATCCTGCTGCTCATCCGCAGCCCCCTCTGTACGCAGCTCCCCTTGTCTAATCGCGCATAACACGATGGGATCCTTGTGGGGGTCCAGGTCGGCTTTGACACCCGTCGACGGATATATAGGGAATGACCCAGCGCAGTGGGAAGGGATGGGTGGGAGGGGTAAGATGTCATATATGGCGCGAGTGAACCTAGCTTGCCCTCCCCCTCCCCTCCCCCGCCCCCCCCCCCCCCCTGCGCCCCTTCCTGATTCCCTTTCCCTGCTTTCCATCCGCTCCCCTGCTATCCATCCGCTCCCTGTTTTCCACCCTGCTGTCCATTCGCTTCCCTGACCGCGCCGCCGTCCCTCCCCCCCGCTCGCTGGGCCAGGCAGTCAGGGCGCGTCTTGAGCGCCTTGAGGGGGGCTCCAGCGGGCTGGCTGAGGAGCTCGAGGCCTCGGAGCGGGTTGCTCCACAGCATGAGGGAAGCGGGACTTGGAGGTTTTTCCCGGTTTCGGGCTCCGTCAGGGCCCCCGGGCTGTCAGAATGGAGTCGGAACACGAGTCAGCATGAGAAGCTGGTCCGGGGGGAAACCTCGGGGCCCAGGGCCCGCATCCCTCATGGCCTGTTTCCTTCGTGGGAACGATCCGGGGGTGGGCCTGCGAGGCGAGGATCAGCATCGTCAGACCTATCCCATCCCCCATCCTCAGTGGGAGGGACTTTGCACCGCTGTTTGACCCCTACTCCCCCGGTTGGAGATAGATGGTCCCCTCTCCATTGGGGCTCGCACCATACATCCTCACCTTGGTGTGGTAGGCTAGTTGTGCTAAGGCACCCAGGCCCACTGGGGCACTGGGGACGTGGTTAGGTCTGACGACGCTGAGAAGGGGGGGGTTGGGGACAAGGATGCGGATTAGGAAGGAGGAAGGGGAGGGGAGGAAGAGGAGAAACAGCAGGTGGAGGATGCGGGGAGGCCGAGGAGGAGAGGAATAGCGAGGGGGCAGGAAGTGGAGTTGGAAGTTGGAGGCAGAAGGAGGAATGGAGGAGAAGGGAAGAGGGGAGAGGAGGAAGATACGGATACGGTTGAGAGGAATCGACGATAATGGTGACGCTGCCGATGGCAATGACGATGCTGATGCCGATGGTCATGGTGATGGTGATGATGATGATGCTGCTGATGCAGATGCGAGGTGGAGGATGTTGGGAGGTCGAGTAGGAGCCGGATGGTGACGGAGCTGGACGTTGCGTTGGAAGTTGAAGGAAGAAGTCTGGCGACGAAGAGAGGGGGATGAGGGTAGAGAAGGAAGATAGAGGGTCTCATTAGAAGGATTCGGTGATACTGATGATGTTGATGATTGTGATCATGACGGCGATAAAGATGCACATGACGTGACGACGAAGATGACGATGTCGATGATGGTGATGTTGATGACCATGCTGATGATGTTGACGATGATGGTGATGATGATGATGCCGATGGTGGTGGTGATGATGCAGATGGTGTTTGTGATGATTGTGATGATGGCGGCGATGATGTTTGATGATGATGGCGATGACGATGACGATGACAATGATGATGCTGCTGCTAATGATGATGAGGAGGAGAAGCAGTATAAGGATGGCGGGTCGGCGTACGAGGATGCGTAACAGGGGCGAGTTCAGGCGAGGAGGTCGAGAGGCATGGTAGGAGAGGAGGAATGAGGATGAAAGTGGGAGGGACTGTGGAGGGGGAAGGGGGAGGAGTGATGAGGGGATGGGTCGAGGGCATCCGGGTGGGCAAGGGAAAAGGTGGGCATCATATGGACGGGTTGGGCATGTAAGGTACCGCAGCTGTTGCAGGGAGTGGAGGTTGCAAATGTTGCCACCTGGCAGGTTCGAATGAAGCTTCGCCGACATGCGGAATTTCTTGCAAGCTTTGGACAGCACATGTGCATCGACAGTAACGTGGGCTCCCAGTCACAGTTCTTGATGTAGGTTTATGCGATGCCAAGAATGTGGGCACGGGGTGGGCACCAGGAAGGTTCGTAGCCATTTTGGTTCAAGTCCGGAGCCTTCCAACAGCGACCTTTGTTCGCCAGGTCCGACGAGGCTTTCAGGCTTCGCATTTTGTTGGGCAGCGACGCCGTTCAGGCGCATCCGTGCCAGCAGCGCCCACGAGCCATGGTGGGGACTTAGCATCGCCAGCGGGTACCATGGGTGCAGCAGCAGCAGCAGAGTGGTGAGAGCGCGCCTTGGAGACAGGGAACTCATGGAGGAGGGACCGGGGGATGCCGGCAATTGCCAATTCTATCGGTACAAGCTGCTCTGCACGGTCTGCCACTGTTTCTTGTACCAAGACAGGCTACGCTCGGCGGGCTACAATATTCTCTGCGGGGAGTGGTTCGTGGTTCGGCGGCTCCAACCGACTGGAGCGACAGCTGGCAGCATCAGCACTACCACGGATGAGGGCCATCCGAGGGCGCAGGTTCGAAGGCCGAGCCGTGGTTGGCGAAGGGAAGGATCCCAGTGCCAGCAGGAAGGCAGAGGAACTGTTCCAGCTGCTGGCGCCGAAGCAGACTACATCGCAGCCCGAGAGGCCCGCTGACCTTCTGCAGAGGGCGAGCACCCGAGTGGGTCGCGCCACCAAGGCGTTGGACAAGGCACGCGAGCGCTGGACCCGCACAAAGGACGAGCACGCCGAGGCGCAAGAGGCCATGGCGAAAACGACGGCATTGCTGGTCGCAGCAGAGCAGGATGAGGTCGAAGCGGCACGCAGACTGTTTCAAGGTGAAGCAGATGATGAACAACCCCCAGTCGTCGACGTCGGCACGGCGATCAGGGACGGCAGCACGCTCCAGCTCTCTTTTGGGAAGTTGCTCGACGGGCTGGAGCTGCAAGCGAACGACCACAATATTGTGGCCGAGCGCTCCGATTGCCGCCAGCCAGCTACTCCAGAAGGCAGTACAGGAGGCCATGGGCGGCCTAAACACCGATCGTCAGAACATCCTGAAGGAGATGGCCGAGGTGGCAGCTCGAGGCACTAAGAAGCGGACGGCCCAGGATAGCCCTGATACTGGCGCGTTTGTTCCTCCCGTGGAGCCGCAGCAGCCCGCTGGGGGGGCCTCCAGCTCAGCGAAGAGGCCAGCCAGCCGCCGCTCCAGGAGCAGATGGTGCAGCACTTAGACAAACAGAGCCGTACCTCCGCGAACTGCAGGAGGGCCTCGGCGCAGGAAATGGTGGCCAAGACGCAGGCCTGGAAGCACGAGGCCGGGGCCGAGATCGGGCGCCTGCGACAACGGGTCCAACAAGGACTGTAGCACAGGCAGCATCGATGATAATCTCTACACGCTGTACATGACGAGCCTGTCCAAGCTCGGCCCCGCGGCCAAACATCTACTACAAGCGAAGCGGTACGATAGGGCTTCAGGCCAGTGCTCACGCCCAGTCGTTCATCAGAGAAAAAGTCGAGGCCGGGAGGCGTTGCGGCTGGCTGCAGGAGAGTTTTCCAGTTTGAGACGTTCAGGCATGTGGCCAGCGAGCCCAGTGCCACAGTAGGACTCAGAGACCACCAGGAGAACCGGAAGTCAGCTGTCAGTGGGTCATTTTCCAGGTTACGGTTGCAGGGCAGGTTGTCAGCATGTCCGGCGTCTACTTGACCGCAGGCATAGGTTTTTGAGAGACACTAGTGCGTGCAAGTTGGTCAGTCTAGGTTCCTTGATACAGTCCTTGCGCAGTCCTTGGATCGCCATGGGGGACTGGAGCTACGAGCCAGAGGAGTTGGATGCCAGCGGCTCGCCACGCTTAGTCGCAGGTGGAATCTGCGCAGCACGCAATGTCTCTCGCGCGCGCGCAGTCCAGACGCGTCGCACGCTCGGTCATTTAGTATGTTCAGCGTCGGCGAGGCATCTAATTCAGGAGGCTGCGGTAGATCCCGAGCCCGTTTTTGGGGCGGGGAAGAGCCGCTACGACTTGATTGCGCAGCTGAAGCTAAGCATGTCAGAAGCCCCGCGGAGAGTTCTGATGCTGCCTACTGCACTCCCTTTATTAAACGTGGGCGGTGCCGTTTTCACAGCGCGCACTTTTGAGCGCCAATGTGATTTCCGCTGGCGCGGGGCCCCGCAGAATATTGACCGCTGGCGCGCGCGAGATGGCGGCTTAATTTTCGCCGGCGCCAATGAATTCAGATCGCATGCAAAATGGGCGGTTATTGGGATGCGCAGGCGCAGATGGTCGCCGATAGCGCAGCAACCGCGCTCGCGCATAGCTCGAATCCCGCGTTCGTTCACATTCGCTTGCGCAGGGAACTATCTCGCGCTTTGGTCAGCATGTTTGTGCCGCGTCTTGCGGATCTGACTTGAGAGGTGCGTCCTGCGTGTTTGTCGCAGTTTTGAATTCCAGCATCGTCGCTGTTACAACCATCATCATCGTCAGCGTCATCGTCATCTTTACAATTTGGTCTGTTTACCGCGTCTGGCAGAACAGTTCTCATCGTGCGCCATCATCTTCGCGATAGGGCGATCGTCTTCAGCATCAACATCGCTATCGCCATCGTCATTACCGTTCCCATTGTATTCACCATTCGCATTGGCATTCCTAAAATGGCGCGCTATTTCTGAAGGCGCCCGGGCGACGCATTTGTCGCCGGCGTCAAGATCTGGCCCCGAGGCAATTTTCGCCGGCGCGGCGCCCTCCGCGGCGTCTGGCCCTCCGCGTTACATGGGGGAAATCGAATAAACCTCTTCGGCGGCTGAAATCCAGCCGCCGCCGCCAGCGAACGCGGGCAAGGGCCCGGCAAGCAAGCGTTCGAGAAGCGAAGCTGTTAGGAGAAGTAGCGCAGATGCGCAGCGTAGCAGACGCAGGCCCACGCAGACAGGGGGGCCCAAACATAGCATCGTTTCCATGAGCTCGCCGTCGCTCGAGCACCCGCGCCCAGTGGACCTCGGAGAGGAGATGGTTTTGAGCCGGAGAGCGGTTGGTCAGCGGGGGATTAGGGGGGCTGCGGGGGAGGTCCTCGGGGTAGCCGGCCAGCAGTCGGAGTATTTCAGCGCCTCCTGCGCCAGGCAACTTCCGACCAGCTTGACCAGCATTGGAGAGACAAAGGGCCGGGGCAACCATGGGAGATCGCGGTGCAGCCGCAGATAGGAGGAATCAGCACCCGAGGGCGGTTCTGAAAATGAGCGTCGGGCGCCCCGAGTGGAAGGGCTTTTCGTCGGTGCGCATTCCGCGCCACCGCACATGCGCAGCGAGTTCAGAGGTCGTGGAATTGGGGGGGATCATTTTCAAAGCAGAGACGCAAGGCTCCACCTTCGTCTCGGCATCTGACCCTGTAGCGCACAGGTGGGCATCGGCGATTTTCCTCTTTGACGAGATGGCGAGTTGCTTACTGCGCTGAGAAGCACGTTTCGAAGCGCTGTTGGCCAGGGCCCGAGAGCTGGCGAGCCAACTTCCAGCCTCGCCCCTCGCGCCTCCCTCTAC